ATTTCCCAAATTGTAAGAGAATTTTTTCAAGTAAAATTTTGTTGAACTCTTTAGATATTCAGCACCAATATTTGCTTAAAAAGAAGGTGTTATTGACGAAGAAATGGAATTATTGTACCATCAAAATTTTAACTAAATTACCATAATTAATATTAATTTTTTAGAGGATAATTACATAAATATATAACATTGAAAATATTTAAATTGTTTGATCATTCATATATGCATAGATACACCTATATACATACATATATACACATTTATTGTGATAATATTAAAGTGTTGAAAGCATATCTATAATTAATATTTCATCACATTTAAATCAGAAATTTTCAGTTGTTATTGTTTCATTGTATTAATAAATACCTGTATAGCTATTTACATGTTATTTCAATTTAAAGGTGTTAAAATAAACAGAATGTACATATACATATACACATACAGTTAATTTTTCATAATAACAAATTTATAGCTAATTATAAAATTTTATATAATGACATGATATTGTTACATATATTATTTACACATACATTATGTATATGTAAATGAAAATTTTAAAATTTTACAATATTTAAACATTATTAACATAAATTTATTTGAATAGAGAATTTTCACCTTTTGTAATTTTCTTAATTCATTTTCAAATTATCTTAATCAAAGATTGTTATGTAATTAACAAAATAATATTTATCGAGATTACAAACAATTTATTGAATTTAAATTCTATTTAAGGAGTAATATTTATAGTAGCATACTATGTATGTATTTATGTTTTAATTAGTTCATAATTTTATTTAATGTGGATCAAATTGATGAAAATTTATGCTGTGTTTTTTCAGTTAAGTGAGATATTTCGGGCACTAATTTGTCATCATTAACACTGTATTTGCTTTAACATTCTTATATAGATGAAAATATTTTCTTAAAACACATTCTTAATGGCATGATCTGAGCTCAAATCTACACAATATATCCTATACCTTGTTATTTGGAATGCTATCATAATTAATAATACAGCTTCCCTTAGAGGCAGCTAATCAAATTTATTCAAAACAAAAAAGAACGAACTGAACGAAGCCGAACGAAATGCGGAAACTGAATTTTACGTATTTTTCGGTTTCATTTATGAATTTCGTATAAGATTTTGCAAATTACATGTTAAAAAAATTCATCAATATGAAAATAAATTCATTAAAACATTTTCTCACTCGAATGCCTGGTCAAACTCACTTTTCGGGGAAAATACGAAAACTACCTACTGACCATTTAAAAATAGAAGCAAATAATATTAATTAAACCAAAATTTCAATGTAAGAACAAGCTTATTAAATAAGCTAATCATCAACATGTTTAATATTAGGTTCTATGATGGTTAGTAATTAAATTTACTCTGCCCAAGTTCCACAAGTATCTAAAATGAATTCAATGAATGTATATGAAACTGGAATCAATAGAAACAAGAGTCTTATTGCATTCAGCTAAATTAGTTATAAAATCAACCGCAAAAAATGGAAAAAAATGATACTTGTTCAATATTTCCCCTTTGAAACCACAAAAAAAAATTTCAAAATGTTCAACAAAATTTATCATTCCTGTCTTTTTTCAGCACATCAATAAATTATGCTTTTTAAAATTTTATTTTTTTTTTAGTAATGAATGGTACTTGTACATGGTATGTATGTATTTAAAAATTTAAATATTTTTGTTTTATATTCTGAATAGCCAACCGAATTTTCCAATAAAGCTTCATACTATTACTTTAATTGCCTCTGCAAACTTAAAAAGACAAAAGAAACAAGTGGCGGAGAAACAATAATAAAGGTTGTTATAGAATCAAGACAAAACCAAAATAACCGCTAAAATCGCTTTTTAATTTTTTATTTTTCCGTTTTTTGTTCTGAAAAGTACTTTTTGTTTCTTATAAACTTTTTTCTCCCCTAATTTTAGTGAAAAAAATTCTGTTTTTTTTTCTATAAAAATTTTTCAACAAAACCACATTAAATATTTTGTCTGATGACTGAAACTATTTCTAGGGTATTATTAATTTTACTATACAAATGACGGCTAAGTTCAAAGGAATTTTTGTATGTACATAAACATGGGAGCAAAAAAAGAAAATTTAATTTACCCTGGAAATGGTGATTAAAGAGTTTTTTGTAATTCAACATGAATAATTTAGGGTAATTTAAAAAAAAACAACTGATAGGAAACTTTAGAAAAATATAAGTGACACGATAAAACCACTTATGTATTTGAATTTCAGCTCACGCCACGTCGAGTCACGTCACTTTAAGTCACATCACGTCGTGTCACGTCATGTTATGTTAAGTCGTAACAAAAACATCTAAGTTACATCTAAAAATCCAACCCTTAACTTCTTATAATTTGGCCGTTATCACATTACAGCCATTCAAAAAGCATGTGTGACATACAGAAAAACATAAAAAATTAGGCTTTTTAGATAGTCAATAGATAGTTAAAAATTTTGTGATTACTTTAAACAGTAATGTAAAAGGAACACGACAAATCAAATATTTGAAGGCTGTACCCAAACAAAAAATTGTGACTTGGAATTTCTATATGTATTTTTTCAAGCAATAACGTTACTGCGACATCATGCGGCAACATTTTTAGGATGTAGATTAGATTAAATTAGTTTTGTAGATCGGCAGAGGTCAACCTCAAATCAGGTCAGTGAAGCCTTTAAGACTTATTGCAACATCCCACCGCAGTAACAAAATACCAACTAGGCCTATAACTCGCACGCTGTTGTACACTAATTGTTTGCTATCATTGATTTCTCTTTATTTATATTTAATTTGAAGAAACGGTCACCTCTTCTACGTCTATTCTTTCTAATATTATATTTACAAATATTAGTTCGTCAATGCGTTCACATTTATTCGGTAATCAACTTCATAATTTCAAACTTATGAATTGTATTGCGTATAGCAGTCATTTGAAATACAAGCAGTCCAATAAACAGAAACGAAAACTCCATTTTCATTCTCATGTACAATGAAATTCCACAAAAATTTTTTTTGTAATTTCCAAAAAAAAAAAAAACAATAAAAAGAAAAATTGATCTTATATTGTACATTCTCATTACAGTATACAACTGGACAGACTATGTATATAAGTAGTAATGACCCATCCGACTGTTCCAAATATCATTATTACACTATAATTTTAACACGTCTTGCATTCCATCTATCCGTAGATTTTTGTACTATACATTTTCCAAATGCTTAATTGTATATGGCAAACGTTTCTTTTATATTGATGCTGTTCTCGTTATTTTCATACAACTTTTGTATGTAAAATGTGAGCATTGTCTATTAAAGTATAACGAGAGACCTCTTAACATAAATGTATAACTAACAGTATATAAGGTAAAATATTATTATAAAAATATGTAGGAGTGAAATTTTCTCATGTCGGACAATCGTAATTTATTTATTACATTTTTTTTATATAACAGTTATTTAGCTATATAAGTTATTGTCCTACATATAACTCGTATATTTTAAATATAATATTATATTGTATATCATTTTATTACCAGTCTCTACCTTTCTCAATTCAAGTATACATATATGACTATATATCTGTAAATTTAAAGGTAGTATATATGATTTTAAATAAATAAAGGTAAACACGATATTTTCTAAATCCAATACAAATAAATATTAATAACTCATATACACAATATGTAGAGAGATGTACAGAGAAAGTATATTAATAATTTTATACTAGAAAATAATTTTGTCGCGACAAAAACCCTTAAAAAGGATTTCATTTTTAATTGAATAATTTTATTTTTACATGTTTAGATTTCTACAATTTTATTTTAAACTAATTGAAAAAAAAAATATTTTAACCATTTTGTTTTTATTTTAATTAAATTTTTTCGGTATGTTTAAAATTCAATATTTTTAAAGGATTCACCAGGTATTCGTGTAATTTATATGAAAATGTATTTTAATATTAGAATTTAAAAATTTAAAAATTATGGAAAACTTTTTTGAATTTTGGACGGGAAAAGTTGGTTAAGTATGAGAGGTCCAATTGCCCTTAGCAGACTTGTACAGTGGGCGCAACAGTGTGCAGCGATCACGTATAAGAATCTATTGAGCGGCCTCTTATCCAAATGCGCGACATGCCTTAAAACACACGCTCAAGATCCACCCTCCTGATGAGCAACTTTTTAGGCTCGGAAAACTGCAACTCGGCCGCTATGAGAGCAAAGCCCTTCAGCCCTTTATTCTGCCCCTTAAATAATTCCGAAATATTTCCTGTCTAAAAGTTCTATACGCTTAATAAAAATGTGATTTAAGGTGTACAATTGTTTTCTGGGAATTTTCGTATTGTCTTGAGCACGTTTGCTCTTTTCGATCATTTAAAAGAAAATTTCTACTGATTTAACCGCAAAATAATCACTAAACGGATCTGAAAGCTAAAGTTAAACAATATAGTGTTGATTTTGAGTTCCAATTCGTTTTATATGTAAAAAATTTTCATTATTATTTTACTATGTAATTTTAATGCTCCGTATTCACGATGAAATTTCACAATAATTCAGATAATTTATAAAAGTAAAACTAAATCTCTAATTCGAAAATTTTAAAATATCATACACCGCTCATAATATTTTGAATTTTATAACACTTTTTAATTTCAGAAAATTTCATACTTAATATTCAAAATTAGTATATGCATGCAGAAGTGCAAAATAAATGCAGGTATCCAATATACTTTAATAACGGTATAATAATATTTTAAGTACCTACATTAATATGTAATTTGCATGTGTTTATAAATTAAACGTATATATATGTAGATTAAAAATATATACACATACAAATATTATTCTTATTATTGTGCGCGAACACAAGAGTGCAATGGGCAACATTTTAATATTGAAAGTATAAAATAATATTATTAACAAAAATAATAATTATGATAATAACAAAATTTAAAAAAGTGGAATTAATTCTTACCTGTAATTTCTTAATAATCAAATTTAAACGAACTTGAAAAGCTTTATCACGATATGTCATCATTGCATTGCCATACCTATAGATACCTTCAATATTGTATACAGCACCATTAAATAACGTTAATTCAGCTGAATATGTTAAAAATAGTGGTGACTTTTTTTATTGAAAATATGAGCATCGTTGATTTTGTTGTTGAATATTTTATTGAATTCATTTTATTACGAATATTTTAAAAAAAATTTATTTTAATGATCATATAAAGTTGGTTTTCCACACAAATTAGATTAAAAAATTATGAAATAAAAATATTTCCATATATTGGTGTTGAGTTTTAATATTTTGTATATGAAAATAAAAAAAAAAATATTAAATATAAAATATTAATAATTAATAAAATTATGTTATGGATAAAACGTTAAAATTTATTAAAGTATAGAGTGATTCTGTGACATTTATTCGTGTAATTATTAATTATTTTAAATTTACATTTGGCATAAAGAGAGCGTATATGACAAATTTTATTTATTGAGAGAGGAAGCACCTATAGGGGCAGGAAGTCAGACGACATATGGATGTCAAAGCAGCATTGAAGAAACAGTCAATTTATTTATTCAAACCCGATCAGCTATTATTATCATTTCAGACATTAAGAAAGGTTTATAGTTCCACAAATAAGGACTGAATTTCTAAATGAACACTACCAATTGCGATAATTAATGGTTCAGAATTCATTAAAACATAATAATGCTATAGCAGATAAGCCCAAAAAGTCTCAATTTAACCCTTATTTTCTATAGATGAGTGTTATTAATGGATCATAGGTCAAGACATTAGAATAATTCAAAACAGTTACTGGTTTGTATAAAAGAATCCCTGACTTTATAAATAAAATTTAAGTTTAAAGCTTGAATTACTTAAAATCTACTTTTTGGACTTCGTGAGTTTTCATTATTAGCAAAGACGGTATTATAGTTAAAGGACATCAAAATGAACAGTATTAATAATATAGAGTACAAAATAAGTTCATAGTTTACTTCAGATTACTTGTATTATTTCAATGTTTTACCTACATACTTGTATATAATTCGTCTTCTTGAAAACTCAAAACTGAAATGTGACTTAATAATATGTAGTGACTATGGATTGCTATTCCTCAATAAACTATTAAACTCATAAATATTTAGCTTAAGTTTTTAATATACTAAAAACATTTATACATCTACAATACAAAAATCTGTAAAAATAAAAATACTTACAATTGATATGCCTTCCTTAACCTCTGGTAATTTAAAATGTGTCATACCAAGTTCTTGAAAATGTGACAATATCAATGGAATTGTCATATCGACTTGTTCATTTATATTGGTCCATCCAACTTCATCCTCTTCAAAATTATTAATATCTCGTATGCTACGATGACGATGATAACTGATAATGACATTACTTTCATTCATTGTTGAAGGTTTATAGTTACTGGCTGTGTCCTGTTTATTTTCCTCTGTAATACTTTTAACAATAAGAAAAGAAAAAATTATTGGAAAAACAATTTTATTACAATTCCTATTTATTTATTTATTTATTTTTTTTTGTAATTTTTTTTTTGTTTGGCGTCATTTTATTTCCATTCTACAAACTATTTTTTCATTGCTGAACTAAAAATGGAATGTATATAGATAAGAGAGAACGATAAATTCCGGATCAATAAAATCAACGGATTGAGGAAACATTCTGATAAAAATCTGATTATATGTAGTGTATATAGAAGCAATGTGAGTGCTATATAATTTTTTGTAACGTTAGTATTGTAGGTATGGTAACGATTTTTTTATTTGTACTAGAAGCAAGGATTAAGAATAGTATCCTGTATATTATTTATTGCTATTATTTTTTTGTAATATACTCAAAAACGGTGCGATGAATGCTGTTGTATTATTGTTATTCTATGATAGAGAATACTGACAACGCGGATTTGCTATATTATAAAAAATACTGACAAAATTTTCATATAAAATTTTGCTTAGGTAATCACTTATAACTATTTAATATTTGAAAATAATTTTAGAACTGCTGCAAATTTGTGAAGTTCAATATACTATTTAATGCTATAATAATCAAATTTATTTCATGGGGCTGATACTTATGTAATATTAAATAGACGGCCTGTAACTAGTACAGATTGCGCATATACGCAAGGTTTCTTTAAAATTTAGGCAAATTGAAGTTTATTCCCTAATATGGTATGTAGGCTGTGCCCACACAGACGAACAACTGAAAGATGTAGTGTACTTTTGTGGAAGGGGGAACTTCCAACTAATAATAGGACGTGACAATGCCCACCACACCGTCTGGGGAAGCAGTAATATAAACAAAAGAGGTGAGTGCCTACTTGAATTTATATATAGCAATCAATTAATGGTTATGAATGAGGGCAATAGGCCGACATTCATAAATGCAATTAGGGAAGAGGTCCTTGACATCACCCTTTGCACTAAGTTTATCGGCAGTAGGGTTAGTTGATGGTGTGTCTCAAATGAGACATCCATGTCCTATCATAGGCAGATTAGGTTTGATATCATGGTCTCCGGGCGCCTGGCGGAAGAAATGTATCGCGTACCCCAATCCACAGATTGGAGTCGATTCGAAACGCTCCTCATGGATCGGATTGGATCCATTCCTGCTTCTGTCAGAACGGTGATGGATATCGAACTGGCCAGTGAGGCTCTGACGGCGGCTATTACTAGTGCCTACCATGGGAACTGCCGCGCTAAGCCGAGGCGGAGCAATAGGAAGTGCCCGTGGTGGAATGAAGAGCTTTCAAGGCTTAGACTAAAGACCAGAAAGCTATTCAATAAGGCCAAGGCGTCGAGTTTATGGGAAGAGTATAAAAACTCACTCACGAAATACAATGAAGAAATTAGGAAAGCGAAGAGAATTTCGTGGAGGGCGTTCTGCAAGGGCATTGATGAACTCTCCAGCAGTGCGCGCCTTCACAGGGTGCTTTCCAAAAAGTATGTTGGCGGGTTGGGCCTAATGGAACGGCCTGATGGCTCCATGACTGAGAACGGAAAGCAGACTTATAGCGTCAACGCACTTTCCTGACTCGGAGATTCTTCGGAATCACTCAAATGCGGTCATTGAACCGAAGGCATCCTAGTCCAGGAGGGATGACTGGCAACGATCCCGTCTGGTCCTCACGATGGGCAGGACTAGATGGGCTGTTTTCTCTTTCAGACCCTTCAAATCTCCAGGTGATGACGGGATATATCCTGCATTTTTGCAGAGGGGTTTCCAACATATCGCCAGAGCACTGTTGGAAATTTTTCGTGCCAGCTATGCGTGGGGTTACATCCCTCAGGCATGGAGGGTGGCTAAAGTGAGGTACATTCCGGAGCCGGGAAAGCGACCAAGCAACCACCCAAGGTCTTTCCATCCAATCAGCCTTGCTTCTCTTCTATTGAAAGCAATGGAAAAAGTGATTGATAGATTTATACTGGACGATGCACTGGGAAGCAATCCCTTGCATGAATCTCAGTACGCCTATCAGTCAGGAAGGTCTACTGTACTCGCTCTCCAGAATTTGGTGGGGGTCCTTGAAAACTCCCTGGAAGTGCGGGAGGTGGCAGTTGGCTGCTTCCTTCATATAAAGTTAGCTTTTGACAACACCACATAACATGTCATCTGTGAGGGATTGATGCGAAGACTAGCAGATGGGTTAATCGGATGCTACAGGATAGGATTATTAAGTCCACCATAGCTGACGATATACTCTTCTTCTCCGATGCAAAAGTGTTTCCGCAGGGCGGGGTTCTCTCGCCCCTCCTGTGGTCCATTGTAGTGGATGATCTAATCGCTGCTCTCAGGGGCTCCGAGGCACGTTTCTGGAGATACGCCGACGTATACGGAAAATTTGAGAGCACTATTTCTGATCTTCTACAGCAAAATTTACGTGTTGTGGAGAAGTAGTGCGAAGGCGTTAGGCTAAATATAAATCCAAGCAAGAGCACTTTGGTCGCCTTCACCAGACGCACAAGCAGGGATAGATTAACGAGCCCAATTCTGTTTGGTGAACGTATTAGTTACTCTAGGGAGGTGAAGTATTTGGGGTTAACCCTGGATGATCGTCTCTCCTGGAATACCCATATAGATAGAGTTATCAAGAGGGCTATGGGTACGGGTACTTGGGATCGGGGTGGCCCGGTACTTGAGTCGGGCTCGTGCGTGTGGTATGCGGACGGGTCTAAAACGGAGTCGGGTGTGGGTTCGGGTGTATACGGTGTCCGCCTGGACACGCGTGTATATGCGACTCTTGACCCGTATTGCGCGTTGTTGAAGGCCGAAATACATGGAATAGAAATCTGTCTGAGAATCAACTTAGAAAGGGGGTGGACAGATACCGCACCATCTATGTGTTCTCGGACAGCAAGGCTGCACTGCTGGCACTTCGTTCAGCTCAGGTAACATCCAAGCTGGTCCGGGGCTTCCTTGCTGCACTTATGGAACTGGCATCGGAGAACAGAGTCACGCTCATTTGTGTGCTGGGCCATAGTGGCCATGCGGGCAACGAAATTGCCGATGAGCTGGCGCGGAGGGGATCTGGGGCTGACTTTGTGCAGTCGCTGCTTTTCTGCGGTCTGCCTTTTTCCGTCATGCGAAGGTGTTTCTTTTGGCGTGCTCAAGCGGATTCATCGCAGAGTTGCTGGGGATGAGCAGGAGCCGGGTTCTCACTATTGCGAATTTCTGCAAGGGGCACTGCCCAGTGATGTACCACCTGCATAGGCTGGGGAAGTCGGGCTCTCCCCTGTGCAGATTTTTTAGGGGTGGCGATGAGACCGCCGTGCACATTCTCTGCGACTGTCCGGCACTGGGTGTTCGGCGCCGCAATTGTCTTGGACATGGGTCCCTAAGTGTTCGGGAACTGTTGTCCAACTCCCTTAGGGATATCTCCGGCTTTGTGATTGGGACGAGGATATTATAGGCGGGAGCGTGGGGAAGCTACAATAAGTCAAAAATGGCTGCGGTGGCTTGGGAGGTTACTCCTGTCCCACTCGGTTCTCTTAAAATTTACGAATTTACGAATATGGTATGTATGCTGATATAAAGCCGCAGTGCAAAGTGAAAAATTTTCGATAAATACTCAAGTTTCTTATAACTAATTGAATTATTTATGAGATTGTTTAATTTTACAAATTCCATTCAATGCAAATTTTTTTCTTACAATATAATAATTAAATAACAATTATAAAAATTTTATTCAAAAACTAAAAAAAAAATTTTTAAAATAAATTTGTTAATTAAAATCTTAAAAACCTTAAAATGAAATTAAATTAATATTCTAAGCATAATTTCAATTATAAATTTCTTTCTAAATTTGGAAATTATGGCGTAATTTTATTTACCAAATTTATCCGTTTGCTATATAGTCACAAACCACCTCCCAAAAATTAACAATATAAATACAAGTACATGTAACGATTTTGTATAGTCATATTATTTATTAATTATTAAAATTGTGTGATTACCATCCCCTTATAGTATGAGACAGAAAAGTAGGGTGTAAATACTACAATAAATTTTTTATTGGTCTTGTTTCCTTAAATGTATAACAAAATTTTGTATACAAAATTTTAAGGTACGTTAATAAAAGTCGAATTAGGTATTCGATATTGTTAGCTGAAATTTATTATAACTTAATATTAGACCCTCTCATTTTGCAAATATTTAATAAAAAACATACTACTAAAAGAAACATTAAATATCGTTTACTTTCAAGGTTTTCGCAGAAAATTTGCGTGTTACAGATATAACATGGGCTAATGAGTCTTCGACCTCAATAATGTCAAGTACATAAATTTTGTTCTGGAATTTTGTTATGTGTATCTTAGAGTGGTCATAGCAAACAACATAAAATTAAAAATTTTTTTATTAAAAAATTTTTATTTATAGAGAAAATTTATTACAATATAGGGACCACCACTAAATAGCTCGACTATATATCAAATGAAAAATACAAAATATACCATTAAAAAGTCAAAACATTTCAAGTCTTTCATCATTTTAATAAAATACATTGATTACGTTAATTTTACGTTATTTATAATTTAAAATTTTAATTGCGAGCAGACAAGAATAAAAATGACTTGATTATTTTATTTATTACTTCATGTGTACTCATATGTACGAGTAACATTTTATAACGCATGTGATTTTAAAGTTTCGAATAAAAAATATTATAAAAAAAATTAACAGTAAATGTCAATGTCATCATGTACGCAATCATTTAAAATTTCCATATTAATTTTTCAAAACGCGTACTTATAAAATATTAATGTTATAAATATGTTTGCAAATTTTGTATTAACACTTTTATTTCAAGCATTTTAAATATACTTATAATAATGTTGACTCGTGCCATTTTTGGTTTAAAAGTTTAATAAAACATAATGTAAGTATGACAGGTGTTATAATTGTTAAATTTTTTTGATAAAGCATTAAAAAACCATAGATCA